GAGGGGAGTCTGCGGCACCCAAGGGGCAGGAGAGCAGCGCCAAAGCCGTCATAAGAAAGCAGATGCCGAGATGGGAGCACCTCAGGCTCCGGATGTTGGTGGGACGTGTTGGGGACAGGGTTTGGGGGTGGGATGGCAGGGGTAGGGGGATGGTTGGGCTGGGGGAGCTTAAAAGGCTTTTCCAGCCCAAATGATTCTGTGATTCTGTGAGTTGGTTTGATAACACCCTTTACAAGGGTACAAATAAAATGCCTGCACAGGTTCGTTTAGCAGCAAAAGTAAAGGCAGAAGCCGTGAAAAGACTCCACATACGAAAAAAGCTACAAACCCCTTGGAGGCTAAGAAATCAGTTAGCATGGAGCACTGAGCTGTAATTACGAAAGGGAAAACACCAGCTGAGCGTTATGAAGCTCTTCCTGCCAGTGAGATGTGTTGAGCCATTCCGGAGTTGCCCAGGGGAGAGGAATGGAAATGCCACAGAAGCCAGAAGAATGAAGTTTTAAGAACTGCCCTGTAGGGAGCAGTCCAGCACGAACTGGCAGATCTGCCCGCCTTTTCGCCTCCATCTTCGGAGACACGTGGAGATGGAGAGGGATTAGCCATTTGGGGTTTTCTTCTTTCTGTTTTAAATTGCTAGCTAATGCTGACCCAAGAAGCTGGCTAAGAAGTCAGTGGATTTGGGGGATTGTTTTTTTTAAAACAGTAAAACATCTGCGTTGCCCGGTAGCTTTGACCTCACCCTGCGTTTACAGGAAGAGGCATCAGCCACTCTGAGCCTTGGGGACAGCGTTTTGAACTCTCATAGTTTATAGGAAAGCCTGCTTGTTTAGGGTCATTTGACCTAATTAATCACTCGCATACATGGCAGATTTGAAACCGACCTTTATATCCTTTTCCTCCCGACTCCCAGCTACACATCCCAGTTCAACATATTCCCTTCTTACGGCATTTGTGCTCACATGTGGGCCCCATGCTTTTACCACTTATGGTTTTCATACTTAGTACTCCGCTTTTGTAGTTCAAATGAAAACGCTGTCAGGTGAGCTGCACTCCAATTAGCCATCTGATCTTTTGAGAGCGTTTCTTGAAGAGCTCTCATGCTATGCAATGAACATAAAAATTTGTCTTACACACACACTGATGCATGCGCTTGTGCTGTTGTCAAAAATGCTGACTGATTTTCCCAAGGATTGATGAAAGTGGTGCTTTTTTGTTGCTTTGTGTGTGTGTGTAACGGTGCCAGACTAGGAATTATTTTCTTCCAATTTCAAAAATGTTTTCCAACAAAAAAATGTTAATTTTGCACATAGGTCTTACTCTCGATGGACAGAAACAACGCAGATCCGTCCCCACAGCGGCAATGCATAAGACTGGATACAAGCCCTGCAGAGAGCAGCTAAAGTAAGTCGTATAGTTGCTTGTTTTGTGTGCTTTTAGTTGCATGTGTTTTTATGTATGACGTGGCAGTTCATTGCTATGAACACATCTATATTCTTATACAGCAAATGACCATGAGGAAAAGTATTTTCAAGCACAGAAGAACGGACATTTAACCTGTATTGTTTCCTCTCCAAACGGAAAAGGGAATGTTGTTCATAGAAAATCCCCTGTGTCATCAGGGATAGATAAACTAATAGACAAAGCTTGATCCATACCCTTGAAATAATCACTGCTGATTGAAAGAATCTGCTGCTCTGTCCAGAACGGAGAGAGATGAATGTTTGCCACACTGAAAGAGGATTAAGCGCAACATGGGCTTGAGTCGAGCCTATGTACTTTGTAAATAGAGGTTTTCTTTAAAGATGGTTATTAAGCCATTGCAAGTTAATAAAAGCAAGCAAGTCTTTTGCACAAGTTCTTAAGGTATTTCCTCGTGTACTTGTTAGGCTTTGTAAAGAAGAAAACCCTGAAATGTCCAAACGTTCTGGGGACTGCTCGCTGGTCTGATGCCAAGTGGCATAAATCCATCGCTGACTTGACTTGGGCGTGCCAGTGCACCCCAGCTGAAATTGAGGCCAGTAGCTGACATGCGCCCGTGGTGCTCTGTAGCCCAGTCAGTGCTGCCTCCCAGCATTCTACAGGCATGTCACTCGGTACTCACATCTGTGGGATGCCATGAATCTACCTTACAAGGAACCTGTCGGTGCAGGAGGGCACTGCTCAGTCTGAATAGCCTCCCGGAAAACGGGCTCTGAAGGTGTGTCTCAGCCTTACTCAAAGGGGCAGCCTCCACGTGGAGGAGAGGATGGTGAAAGCTGCAAGTGGGGATGCCAGATGCGGGATCACGCGCCGTGAGACAAAGAGCGTTACAGAAAGATGAAACAAAGTTGTGTGTGTGGTGCTTGTTTTCCATATATTCAAATTTGAAAGAGGAAATTCCAATGAATTGCTCCAATTGTGTCAGCGTTACCTGGTATCTGGATACTGATACAAGACTATAATTAAATGTTCTCTTTCAGAGGATAATTCATGCGGGAATTTAAAGGTGAAATTAATTACAAGGTGGAAGTTCTACAGTGATGCTGCTTTTTAAGGCATCTGTATGCCCCCACACAAAAATGCTTTACTAATCGTTGCCGTTCCGTCCTTTACTCATTATGATCCCTGAAAGAGCAGACAATAAAATCCTTAATAAGGGGGATCAGCCCAAATTAAAGCAGCAACAAAACCAGTCATGTGGCATCAAAAAAAGGTACCATCTGCTAATCTTAAAGCGGCATAATGATCCTGTGGGCTAAGCCATGACCCTAATGCTAGAGGGGCAAAAAAAGGGACTCAAAGAAAGATTCTGGTTTTATCGCGTCCCACTTGCTAGCAGAGGACCAACTTCTGAACGCCACTTTCACACTGGTCTTTATTACATTTGTCTTGCCAACTCTCATGCCATTTGGGTAATTAATAAATGGTGCTGATGTCCTGTAGTAACGCATTGCCTTTTTTCATTTCAGCATCTCCACGCTCCTGTAGACCTAAGAAAATGCTCCCAAAATAAGGAGTGTGATTCGTAAGTACCAGATCTATTCTAGCTCCCTGAATGAATGTGTTTAATACTTGTAATTGCAGTTTGCACATGGAGATGTAGTACATGGTGTTCTGCAGTATCTTCTACAATTAACTTTCTTGTATCAATAACCGCTTATAAAATGGAGAAACTATGGGAACTTGAGTCATCAGCTGTTAAACTGCACCTCACTACCAATACTCAAGTTCCTTACACTGTGAGATAGGCTTATCAGTTCTGCAATAAATTGGGTATCACCTTGCCTTTTCTCGATGATGGAAAGTGGAAGGCAGAGAAAAAAGGTTCTTGCTTTAAAAGGAAAAGAAGCAGCCACTGTTGCTGAGCAGCTTGTTCAGATAAAACACACTTAGTATTCCAGGCAGATGCATACAGCAGGGATTTGGGGATGGGGTACCCCTCAGCTGTCTGATGATGGGAGTAAGCGCCAAACGAGGCCTTGCCTAACGTAGGACAGAGCGTGTGGGCTTCAGCAAGGTGCTTGGACAGAACTTGTTTAAAAAGCAGCTGTAACTAGTCGACCGCTGTCTAAGTAACTGAAAGATCTGTTGCTACCATGAAGTGCCCGTGCTACCGGGCTGCGAGGAGGCCAGGGGCTGGGGGGCAATGCGGCGTGGGCGCCCACCGACC